ACACCAAGAAAGAATCAGGGGATTTTATTACTATCACTCACAATAATCTGTCATTAGTACAAGATGATAAAATTCCCTTTAGTTTTTGACAGAAAGCAAAAGAAATATGAATGTCACAAATGGCACTCCCATTCTCACTTCTTTACAGTTAGCTGTATCTTCAAAAAAAAAAAATAATACAAAAAGCGTAAAGGGAAAAGGCATGTGTTTTGTTTTACTCAGCCTTTACTCACACTTAAATCTAAGCCTATTTGTATAACTTGACCAAGRACAATCAAATTTACTTAAAGTGTCATGTCTAACATCTTAAACATGAAACCAAGTACACTGCTCACTATATGAAAAAAACACATTGAGAATGAATGAAACTAAAATAAAGCCAAACTTCAGAACAATCCTATGAATAAACTGTTTCTTCTCCAATGTAACCTCAGAACCTCCAAGCAATGAACACTTCACAAGTGCTTGATGTTCATCAGCTTTAAAAGCACACCTCAGAACCAAAATCTTACCCAACCAAKGAAGGAACACCCAAATCTAAGAGCAAGGAACTCTGTAGAAAAAAATTAAAAATTCATCAGTGTTCCAGATGATAACCACCTGCGGAACTGAGCCATCAGTTGCACCCACAGCATCTCTGAAGCTATGAGTTCTTTCACAGACTCAGTATCCATGCCAGTATTAAAGCAGTAAAACATCAGTGCCTTCCCCTCAACCCCATGTTGCACAGAAATTTCAGTGGCTGTGGAAAAGCACCCTGTGAGCACCAGTGCGGGACTTTCAGCTCCAAGTTTTATTCCACATTGGGAACATCCATTTACATCCTCAGGGCATGACTGTTTCAGCTGTGCTCAGTTCCTGGCATGGGRGACCTCCTGCTTTTCACAGTGGAACAGGCAGCACAGCCTTTCATAAACCATCCAGTCCTTATCTCTGCAGTGACAGAATCCAGCAGTATCTTTTATCCATGTTCTGGCTGCAAGTGCARAGCCTTAAACCCATTTATTAGAATATTTATGTTAAACAAATAAATATATTACATATATTTATATATGTAGGTCAAAGCTAGTGCTACTCTCACATAAGCATCACAATGAAGAACTTTTATGGTTTTGTCCAACATTACCCAAAATAAACTGGAGAACGTATTATAAAATTAATCTCATCCCAAACACTCTYCTTGATTAGTATGCCTCTACTTATTACTTTAATAAATTGAAGAGAGCAAGTCCCCAGGAAACAGCCCAGCCCTTGGCTGCTGCACCACCAGATTCATCACACAACAGAGCGTTCCACCTCTTTTGGCCAATTCGAGCTAATTACTGAAGAAAAGGCTTAGAGTCCCAAATGACAGTGACAGCCTCAAMTGAAGTGTGCAGTGGAAAAAAGCTTTGTTTCTGTATCACGTAGCTCCTCTTCTTCATAAGGGGCAGAGACATCACCTACTAAATCAATCTCCCAAGCCTAAATCAATCTCTCAAGATGAATAATAATTTCCTCCTTGGATAATTAAATATATGTGTGAATTTCCCTGGCTGTGTCTCCACTGCATCCCCTGGTGTTGATTACAGCTGTATCTTTGAGACATAACCTTTTTTGGGTTTTGGGGATTTTTTTTGATTTTTTTTTTTTAATGTATGCTTTCTCTCTTTCCTCTGATCTGCAACAGGAAAGCAGAAAATCTCAGCTGGCCACAACGACAGTAAGGTTTTCTGAATCTGCCATTTATGGCAGATAAAACTCTGAGCAAATACAGAGGTTCATCTGTGTAATCACCCTGAGCCAGTGTCACAGTGCACTGCCAGGGGTACATGTTGATGCAGCACACTCAAGTTGGGATTCAACCCARCCACATTCAGGCCTCTCTCTGCAAACCTGAACTGAAAGCACAGCCATGAGAAGTGCCAAGAAATGTAACACATTAAATCCATTTGACGTTTGTTATCGTTCACCACACCTCTTCAGCTTTTTAACAAYGCATGCAAGCAGACCTGGTGACGAGTACCAGAAAGAAACACTGACAGCTCAGGCACAAGGACCAGTGCTAAATTACAAGCATGGAGAAATGGTACTTATTCGAGCATTTCAGAGGGAAGAACTGAGAGCAGACTACAGCTCTTGCTTGTTTGTGTTAATATTCAATCTAAGATGAGTAAATAGAAATGACACATTCAGCTGGGTTGGGCTGACTAGAAAATTCATGTTTAACTGTTGGTGTTTTCAATTTTGCTTACAGGTCTTTCTTTCAGTTCWTGAAAGCTATGCCCAACAAGCCAAAAAGCACATCTGAGAAAACACAAAAAAAAAATAGGAAAGAGAAGTAATTTCTGAGCTTGCCCTGAAATTTCTGAATCAAGGTCAACAATCTTCTCTATTATAGACATTTGTATAGAATTAAAACAAAAATGCTTACTATAAAGTTGAATATAGTGTACACTGGAAATCTCCAATTCAATAGATGAAAGCCAASTGGGATACAGAACAGTAAACAGGATTCTAGCATAGCCTCATAGTCAACTGTGTTTTGGCCACTCCTGAATTTTTAAAATTAGGAACTACTAAATTAAGAACTACTACTACACGCATTGTAAAAAAAAAAAAAAAAAAAAACAAAAAAACAAGCATGCAGGAAGTTTTTCTGACAAGTACCAAGTAAAAGATAATGTGTGAAGATAAAGGGGGTTGATTAATACCTTAGAAGTGGATGTTTATAATATCTTTAAAACCTCAAGTCTTACCTTCCCCTTTCTTTTCAAGTTTCTAACAGAAAAAGCAACATTACTTTTTTTCTCTCAGATCTTATGACAACTTAGTTCTTTAACCACGTAAGAGAGAAAATCCGACTATAAGTGAAAGTCTAGAGCACCATGTTCTTTAATTCAGTGATGGGGACCTTCATTAAATTATCTCATAGCTATGGGACAAGAACTGCAAAAGCCAAACGAGAAATCATTACATTATGTTTCCTTTCTCTCCAAGCAAAGAGTGAGTATAGCATTAGATTAGTTTGAAGGACTAAAAAGAAAGAATAGGGCTCTGCAATATGCATCAGAAGTGACAAAGCTACAATTTTAAAATCTCGTTTATTTATATAATCAGGCATAAGCACTCACTTAAGTTAATTGTGGAAGCCTCGAATGTAATTCATAGCCCAAATGAATTCCAGATCAGTGCAAGCTTCAGTGTTTCATGATCTCCCCTGCACATGCCTAGTGAAAGCCTGCCACTCTGCAACAGAGGAAGGAATTACTACAATAGAACCAGAGGCAGACTTTGCCAAAAACTATACTTTTTTTGATATGAGACAGAATAAACTGAGTGTTTTAAGTAACAGATAGGTTTGAATCCCACTGTCTAGCAGCRGTTATTCTAATTGTGTTTCACAGCATCTTCAGAGAGTCAGAAAAATGAACAAACCACAGGAACACACTCCATAAACTGCACTGAAACAAATGACACTCCCCTCAGTCAGCTTACCCTCAGTAGTCTCCATCCACCATTGCGGGAAAGGATTAATTTATCTTTCAGCTATAAACTTAAGTTAGTTACATGTTCACCATACTGACATCCCAACATTTTTTAATCTTATCATGTTAATCTTGCATCTATGTAAAAATGTGTATTTCAGTGCATAAAAAGATCTCTTGCTGCTGACAACTCTAAGTGMATTAACCTGGGAAGCCTTGAGATCGCCAAACAAGCCCACACACTTKCAGYGRAGATCCCACTGATYAGAAAATGAAATATCCAAAACTCWACAGACATTTCACACWCAGTGGCATTTCTGCAGAAACGTGYTTCCAACACTGCAACTTTTACTTTCATCACTATTGGTAAGTTATTTTCCCRAGTTATTTCACACGCACATACCATGCCCTGTGCCCCTGCTGAAACTACCACATTGACTGAAACTGACTGAGCTCCTGGTGAAACATCAGAGCTTAGCTATAAATCTGCGTAAATACTTCTATTCTGTGCTGCTTTCATGTTAGAATACAACATGCATCAAGGTCACTGTAACAGATTGCAGTTTTCAGGCTCATAGAGGAGACACTGAGAAGATCAATAAGAACAAACTTAATTAAACAGAGTCTAAAGTTCTGCCTTCTCCCAAACCTGCCCAGAATTCACATCTCCATTCCCTGCATTTCAGTCAGGTCTTTTCATAGGTACGGGAAGGCAGGCAGCTTAGCTTAAACGCTATCACTGCTGAAAGGTGAACAGAATTCATTCTTTGCAGTGTGACAAGTCTGCTCTGAGCTCTCCGAATTTTTAGCTAGAGATTACAGCCCCATGGGCCTCTTCCTTTGAAGTGGAGTTCCTCTGAGAGCAGAATTAGTCCCCTGCCTGCAACCTGTCCTCCATACACTGAAATAAATTACAGTCAACTTTTCATTTCACTGCCATGTCAAGTATAGCAATAAATATCCACAGGCTAAAAGTAMGCAAACAAACAAGGCTGGACAAACCATAACCTCACAGCAAGAGCATCTCAAAGAAAATCACCAGGCAGGGCACAAGAAAGTTAAAGGCATCAAAATCAAAACTCTGGGTTCACTGTCTGAATCCGTGAGTATGAAAGGCTAACACGCATCTTGCGTCTCTCCCCTAAGAAGCACTGATGGAAAGCAATTAGGAGACTCCTACAATTTAGTTATAGCTCAGCAAAGAGGAGAAGGCATTTTATATTACGAAATGCCTATAAGAAGTCATCATCTCTCACAGTTGCAGAAGTGGGAAGCGCTGGGACACGGCGCTTCCTCCCCGGCTATGTGCCGGAGCACCGCACCAGCGGGATGCCCGCGGCGGACTCCGGCGGAGTTGGAGCGGGGCTCCCCTGCAATCCCGGCCACCAACCTCCCGCACCTCAACACCCAACAATTGCCGCTGGCGCCGCCGACCATCCTGCCTCCGAACCGGGAGAAAGCGACGGGCAGCTGCTAAAAAAAAAAAGTCACTCGAGACGAAGGGAACGCAGCGAAAAGGAAGCGAGGGCTTACTTGCCTATACAGCACCGCCGGACGACCTCCTCGCAGCTGGTGAAACGCTGTGCCGCTCGTCCTCCTCCCACCGCTCCGTGCTAGTTCCAAAATAATTCCTCCGGGCGCCGGCACATCCCCGGGCTCAGCCGAGGCGCGCAGGGAGCCCGGCCGCCTCGCCCCCCCGCCCGGTGCCCATGGTGTCAGCCACAGCCCCGGCAACTCGCGCTGCTCCCCGCCGGCGCTACCTCGGGGCGGTCCGCCGGCTAGCACGGCATCGCACCCCGGCCGCCGCCGCCGGCTCGAACTCCGCCGCCTCGCCGAGGGGGAGCGTGGGGCTCCCCGCGCCCTTCCCGGAGACGGAGCGGGGGCGCCGGGCGGGGGCGTGCGGGGAGCAGCGCCGCCCCTCCGCGGCGGCGAGCGGCC